GAGGACGAGGACGAGGACGAGGACGAGGACGAAGACGAGGACGAGGACGAGGACGAGGACGAGGACGAGGACGAGGACGAGGAAGAGAGAGAGAGAGAGAGAGAGAGAGAGAGAGAGAGAGAGAGAGAGAGAGAGAGAGAGAGGCATGCGTCACACGTGAATCGCAATGTACCATAGAAGAGTGAATATACGTAAGAGGCAGAGTATAGAAAGTTAGACTTTTAATGTCTGTTTTTTTTGCCTTGTAAGCCTTTATAATGGCCTACACCATGTGTAGAGGCATACGGTGAAAGTAAATGACCAAGTACGATGGAAAGGCAAACCATGGAGACCTTTTAAGGTTGAGTTCTCCGAGTTATTGACACGGGGGTTTGAATACAACTCCCTAGAAGAAGCCCCGAAGTTAAGGAAGAAGAAGAAGAAGAAGAAGAACAGAGATTTGTGAGAAACTGAGTCATTTGGCTTTCTTTGATCATCATTGGCTTGCTCAACGTTTGCTATACTTGATGGAGGGGCCTGTATCTTAGAAAAACGAATGTAGCAATCTCGTTTGTAACAAAACCAGCTTGACTGACACAAATGCTTGAAAGAACGCGCGTGTGCTTACGCCAGAGTATCTACTATCATGTATGCCATCGGCAGGTTTAAACTACATAAAATCAGCGAATAAGTACAGCTATAGCTGCTACATATGACACATTTATAAACATCTTAAACGGTGGGTAAAAAATTCTCTCTGACATACCTGCTGAATGACATCCACAGTAGTGCTGTCCTGGGTGACCTTGAGGATGGTATAAGGTTCCTCGGGGAGAACTCCATGCAGGCAGACAAAGAAGGCTCTGCGCTTCACCGGCACTGAGCTGACAGAGATCTGAAAAAACAAAATGTCAGTGTTGTTGATATAGGCCTACTACACGTAGGCTGCACACAAAAGCACTGCAGGAGCTGTGCACATGAGCTGTACGCGTAAGGCTGCAGCATTTAACATGGAAACAGAACATATGCACCGTCACAGTATTCGAGCAATGTGTAAGTAATAAGTGAGTAAGTGTAGTGTAAGTGTAAGTGTAGTTGTTTAAGTAATGTTG